CCCTCCGCGGCCGGCGCTCCGGGCCCCAGCCGCTCCGCGGCATGTAGGATCTTCCCGGACCGGGGCACAAGCCCGTGTCCCCCGCGTCGGCAGGCGGACTCTCAAGCACTGCGCCACCAGGGAAGCCCTGTCCCTGTATTCTTAAGCTTGCTGAGGTCCCCACATCATGTGCTTAGCCCCTGTGGGTATTAAATTTTCACACATACCTACACCCCTAAAGCTTCAAGCTAAGCCACCAGAAATCCGGGTGAATGTTGGAAAGGGCCAGTCCAGAAGCAAAGGGCTGTGTTTGAGAAATAACCTCCAGATAGATGACTGCCTCCTAGAAGCCGTGAGAGACAGTGGTGACTTCAGGTGGCTGATTGGGGCCTGCTGGAGAATGAAGTCCAAGCAGAACTCCCATCTTTCTCTCCAAACCTCCTTTCACTGACTTTCCCATCTCACTTAACAGCACTCTAGCCTCCTAGTGATTAGACCAAAACCTTGGAGACAATAGAAAATAAGCTTAAAAAAAAAAATCAACTTTATTGACATATAATTTGCATACAACAAAAAGCACTAATTTTAAGTTCAGTGAGTTTTGAATCCAGATATAGAATGTTTCCATGACCTCCAGAAAACTTTCTGATACCCCTTTGCAGTCAATACTACACTTACCTCCCTACCCCATCCTCTCACCTCATTCAACCACCACTGATATGCTTTATTTCTACAGATAACTTTACTTGTCCTAGAATTTCATATAGATGAGATCACATAATACATAGTCTTCAGTGTCGGGCTTCTTTTGCTTAGATTCATTCATGTGGTTGTGGATACGTACAAGTTCATTCATTTTTATTGCTGGTTATTATTCCGTTGGATGAGTATACCATAATTTATCCATTCACCTGGGCATTTAGGTTGTTTACAATTTTTTTTACTACTATGAATAAAACTGCCATGAACATTTATGCACACATCTTTTTATGGATCTGTTTTCATTTCTCTTGGGGAAAAACCTAGGAGTAAAAATTGCTAGATCAAAGGGTATGTGTATGTGTAACTTCATAAGAAACTGCCTGTTTCCAAAGTTGAAATGGAAGTGAAAGACCTCAGTAATGATCTCTTATGTAGAGTACAAGTAGCACTAACTATTAAAAAGATTGATAAATTGAACTACATGAAAATTAAATACTTCTTTTCAGCAAAAACACCATTAAAAGAGTGACACAGCAAGCCACAGAGAAGAAAAAGAGAGTTCCAACTTATATAATAAGTAAAACACTTGTATCCAGAATCTGTACATAAATTTCCTATACATGTAAATGAGAAAAACATACACCCAACAGAGAAATGGGCAAAGTACTTGTATACTTACTTCCCAAAAGAGGATATCCAAATGCCAACAAATATATTAAAATGTACTTAATATCATTAGTCATTCAGGAGATAAAAATTAAAACTACAAAGTGATTCTACTACATCTCCACCAGAATGGTCACAGTTAAAAAAACTGATGATACTAAGTGTTGGCAAGAATAGTAATGCTCATACATGGCTGCTGGGGGTGTAAATTGGTGTAATCACTTTGAAAGCATTTTGGCATTTTCTACTGAAGCTGAACACATTGCATATCATCTGACCCAGAAATCCCACTCTTATGCATATACCCACAGAAATACACACTGCCTGTGTTCAAGAGACGCCGGCAAGATGTTTCATAAAAACATCATTCATAATAGCCCCACCTGGAAACTGCACCATACACATACATGAGCACATACATATACAATACATACAGAAATGAATATAGTAACCACAGTATCATGGATGGATCTTACAAACATTTCGTTGAGTGAAAAGCTGAAATCCAATAGAATTCATACCCCGGGCTTCCAGAACCACTCAAATGAAACTGCATCTTGTAAGTCAGAAAAGTGGTTACGTTTGGGAAGAAAGGAAGGCTTAGTAACTGGGAAGGGCATGAGGACGCCTGCTGTGATTGTAGCAATGCTCTACTTCTTGGACTCCTGGTGGATACATTGTTTTGTAATAATTCATTGAGCCATGCAGTTATGCTTTATGTGCTTCTGTGTATCATAGTTCACAGTATAAAGAGTCAAAATGACATGCATACACCTCTTTTGGCACCACTGTAATTGTACCATTGCCCCATGGATGAAACACAGAATTGTCCTTAAAGTAAAACTCACACCTAAGATTTGATTTTACAAGGACTTATTTAATTAAGTGTTTTGAGCAAATTTTAGATTAAAATCAACACTTGTGATTTTATTGTACAGTAACATGTTACTATCTTTTTAAATAAATGGTCTTTGTATTGAAGTGCCTCAAATAGAAAGCATTTCCAATTGTAAAACTTTCAGCAATTTGCCTTTAAATTTATGATTTTTTAAACTGAGGGCCAATATTATCATGTTATAAGGCACCACCTGCCCTACAACTTATTTTAGACAGAGATGGCTTCAAGCCAAAAGTCTGATTTGTTTTAACTTAGTAGAATAAAGAAGTGACTTTTTTATTCCCCACTTCTTCAGTCTGCACTGTCTGATGGGGGAAGAACATTATGTGAGAAAAAATAGGATTATCAGTTTTAACAGTTAGCATAAATTATAATAAATTTTAATATTTATTGTTCAAAATTCATCCATCTTGATCTTAAAATGTTCTAATTAATAGCTTTTTACCCCAAAATATCTGCATACATTTGTTGTGTCTTGTCAGAGCACAATATTTACTTTTTAAATGGGAGCTTAATTGTTAATATATAGTTTAATTTTAAACTCAGAAGCTACCTATTTCAAGAACAAAGTTTTTGAGATAGCCTTATCCACCAGAGGGCAGACAGCAGAAGCAAGAAGAACTACAGTCCTGCAGCCTGTGGGAAAAAAACCACATTCACAGAAAGATAGACAAGATGAAAAGGCAGAGAGCTATGTACCAGATGAAGGAACAAGATAAAATCCCAGAAAAACAACTAAATGAAATGGAAATAGGCAATATTCCAGAAAAAGAATTCAGAATAATGATAGTGAAGATGATCTAGGACCTCAGAAAAAGAATGGAGGCAAAGATTGAGAAGATGCAAGAAATGTTTAACAAAGATCTAGAAGAATTAAAGGACAGAGATGAACAACACAATAACTGAAATGAAAAATACACTAGAAGGAATCAATAGCAGAATAACTGAGGCAGAAGAATGGCTAAGTGACCTGGAAGACAGAATGGTGGAATTCACTGCTGCAGAACAGAATAAAGAAAAAACAATGAAAAGAAATGAAGACAGCCTCAGAGACCTCTGGGACAACATTAAACGCAAAAACATTCACATTATAGGGGTCCCAGAAGGAGAAGAAAGGACCTGTGAAAATATTTGAAGAGATTATAGTTGAAAACATCTCTAACATGAGAAAGGAAATAGCCACCCAAGTCCAGGAAGTACAGAGAGTC